GTCGGATGCTCAACCGACTGAGCCACCCAGGCGCCCCTGTATTTGTCTGTATTTTTAATAAGTAGGGGACGAATTTTTTTTAATTGTTATTTTTAAATGTTGAAAAAGGATTTGAAACATACAGCAACGTTCTAGGAACTGTAGAGAACCCATGGGTGTTCTTTGCTCTGTAACAGGATGTATTAGTTATCTGTTGCTGCGTAACAAATTGGCCCCCCACACTGAGCAGCTTTAACCAATAAGCATTAACTTACCTCGCATAGTTCATGAGGACTGGGAATCTGGAAGCAGCTTAGCTGGAATCTGCTGGCTCACAGCCTCTCATGAGGAGGTCAGTTAGGGCTGCCGTTATCCGAAGGTTTGTCGGGGCGGGAGACTATGCTTCCAAGGGGGCGCGCTCACGCCCCCCTGGCAGATGGCCTCGGCTCCTCCCCACGCAGCCCTCTCCAAGGGGCACCTCAAAACCCGCTCCAAGGTTGGCTTCCCCCAAAGTAAATGATCCACCAGAGAGTCCCGGGACGAAAGCCGCGGTCTTTTCTAGAACTGCATCTTGGAAGTGGTGTATGCCCATCTCCGCCAAATCTGTTGGTCCCAGAGACTAACCCTGGGACGAGACCCAGGGTGGGAGGAGACCGAATAATGAGGAGGGAGGTGGGCATTGGTGGGGGCCGCCTCGGAAGCTTGGCTGCCGCCCCGATGTACCCGTCGGCAGCGTGCTATGCTCTGTTTATCCTCCATTCTCTCGAGGTGTATTCGTTTTTATGCTGAAGCATATGCGTCTCAATCGCAGACGTTCTCCTTTCCTCCTTAATGCCTCAGCCTTCGAGAACAAGAGTGTTCTCTGACTTGACCGCCGCCCAGTTACCAAATGCAGCAAATTGAGCATTGAGACAGAACCATTGTCCATGGTGCGTAATTTATGTAGCCAGTTGTCCAGCGGTCAGGTAATATGTTTCTCCCCTTATTTCCCTTAGCTTGCCGGCCGTCGTCTGGCCACCTCGCTCAGCTTCCCGCCTCACTTACTTGGGCTTCTCGAACCTGCTCTGGCCACGTGGGTTGTTTCCCTGCGTTCTCTGTTGTAAATACTCCCCCAACCATTCAGCAAGTGCCTGAATGGTTCCCGTCCCAGATTCCTAGAGGGCGGCGTACCAGGTCAAAGTCATGACCCTTTCAAAGCCCCCAGGCCAGGGGGCCCACCCGGGCGACAACCTCACCGGCTCCGTGTGAGAGCCGAGGGCCTCTCGGATCTCTCCTTAGAGGTCGCAAGCCTTCGGGGAGGTGTGGATTGATTGGTTTGGGGGGGCTTTCGGTTTGAACGGTGGGAAGTTCTTCAGGGCCAGCCTCGGAAGCGTCCAGGGCGTTGGAGCCTTGACATCATGAGTCGGCCCACGTTGGGGGCCCCGGCTTTGGAGCCTGGTACCACGGGTGGCCTCGGGAAGTCCCCTGAGCCCTCTGAGCCCGAATCCTTCCCCATCAACTGGGAAGTCACTGGGCGGGGTGAGGCAGGGGGACTCGGGACCAGCCCGTCTCGGCACCCTGACCTCCGTTTCCCCCCGCGTGAAGTGGTTTCAGCGTCTTCTCTGCTTTCAGGCCCGTGGAGGGACCACGTGTAAGTGGTTGCAGGTGGCCATCCGTGCATATATCAGCGTGGGCTGTCCCCGGGGTGTGGATCCCGTGACAGCAGAAGGGGGCCAGCCCGGGGGCGGGCACACAGCTGGTGCTCACGGGTTAGACGGGGGCTGCCGGGGTCGTGATTCGGGG